ACCTCACATGTGCAGTTCTATTCCTTGCCACTTGGTAAACTCTGATCTGTCTTTTGAATGAATGACTGGGCAGGATCAGCAGGGTTGTTTTTGTTTGGGGCAGAACTGGATGGCAGTGTAGGTATTAGCAGCGATGTCCCCAGTGTGGCACTGGAATAAGAAAAATAGAAAAGAAACTCAAAGCTATAAAGTTGGGGGAAGGGGAGGATTGTAAACATTTATCCTACAAGTTAAATTTCAAAAATAGTTTCACACTATTTTATCAGTTTGTATAGACTAGACTAAATTGTTTTATAAATATTAGAGTACAATATATGAATTATTTTTAATATTAGATAATAGAAAGAGTATGTTGGCTCCTTCAGTGGAGACCCTAGTGAGGTCATTAGCTGCTCCCTAGAGATCTTGTGTATCCAGTATTATAGTAACTATTCAGACTGCTGTAATTTAATGAACTCTAAAATGTCATGCATTCACTCACCGATGATCAATCACTATGGATTCCTAATGAACAGGCAGGTAAGAAAATAATTCTTTTTATGTTATATATACTTTTCTCCTTTTCTCTCCTCCCCATTCCTCCCCTCTCTTCCCATTTCCCCTTCTGTCTCTCAGTTTCTCTTGCATCATTATCTGTGACAACCTGTATTTAATAACAAAGTCTCTATGCTTAATCTGTATAAGAGATAAAAAAAAATGTTCCTGAGGACTAATGATGATAAAGCACTAAAAAAAATTTAAGGACTAGAAATTAGGAGCAGTATTTTCTATAATAAGAATAATCTTATTCAAAAAAAGATATTAAATTTTTTATTGAATTTATTGGGGTTACATTGATTAATAAAATTATATAGGTTTCAAGTATACAGTTCTATAATATATCATTTTTATATTGTGTTGTGTGTTCACCATCCAAGTCTAATCTCCTTCCATCACCATTGACCCCCATTTACCCCCTTCTAGCTACTCCCACCCCCAAACAAAGATAGTTTAAATGGAAACTTTAACTTTTACTTGTATAGGTTCAGAGATTTAATTTTTTAAAAAATTCTCATTGTGCTACTGTCTGAACTAAGGAATATAGGGAAAGTATATAGAGCAGAAGTTCCCATGCAGAAGCCTAACTTGAATATTGACTACAGGAATAGAAGGAAAGGAATTATGTGTCATTTTATTGATATTATTTCTCCTAGGCCAGATGCAATAGAAAAATAAAGGAGAAAATATATAGAGTAGAAAATACCGTTGAGTATATGAACAAGTGAAATACATTTTGAGGTGTAAAATATTTTATTGCTAAAATTGCAAACTGACATTTTCCAAAATTGGAGACTTTTGGTATATTAGCTGAATACTATAACTAATAATAAACACATCATTAAGTTAAATATAGACCTAAATAGATGAATTCATCAAATTCTTACCAGAAAAGTTTGAAGTTGTTGAGACTTTATTTTGTAACATTTAGGTGAAATAACCCAGTATGGATTAATTCTCCAATTATATTTCAAAAGACAATAAGCCACGTCACATAAATAAATCTATCAAGTAAGGGAAAAAGGTAATAACAGAATCATCAGGAAAAAAAAAAAACATGAATTATAATTGTGATTCTTTTCAAACTATTCTAAACATACATATACTTTATAATTTTTGGCTTCACTAATGTATTTATTACAAAACTTTAAATATAAATTAACAAATTTAGCTTTTCTTTTTAAAATGGTGCATATTTATTATTTTAAAAAATGGCAAATTATATTTAACAACAACAATAACAACCCAGTTAAAAAACAGGCAATTTTCTTGAATAAACATTTCAACAAAGAAGATGTACAAATGGCGAATAAAGCGCATAAAAAGACATTCTCTGTCATTAGTGCTAGGGAGATGTAAATCAAACACACAATGAAATATCATTTCATACATATTAGGATGCCTATCATTAAAAAATAACAACACAGAAAATAAATGTTGGTGAAAATGTGGAGAAATTTGAACCCTTGCACTTTGCTGGTGGGAATGTAAAATAGTGCGGCTTCTGTAGAAAACAGTTTGAGTTTCTAGGTAGTGGTGATGATTACATATCATTGGAAATATACTTAATACTATTGAATTGTACACTAAAAATGGTTTAAGTGATAATTTTTATGTTATGTGTATTTTACCATAATTAAAATAAAAATGAAGCAATAAAGCAAACTACAAAGAAGAGAGAAACAAATTGTCTTAAACCCAACTTTCTAGGAAGAACCCATGTTAACACTTGGTAGTAATTCTAATACCTTATTCTGTGCTTTAAATTTTTTGTTAGATTTTCAGAAATCTTCTCTATGGAAAAAGTATAGACAATTAATATAAGCAACACTTATGAGCACAGACATGTTCATTGGTTTAACAGGAGCTATGACCTAGGCGTGAGCATGAGTGCTTTGTGCCTGCAAAGCTAACCAGCCTGTGGGGGACTTACATTTGCAACTGCGGCCTCATATAAGAGGAGCTGACCAAGCCAACTTAGACATAAAAATAATCACTAAATGAAATAGGAAACTGAAAAGCCACAGGTCACATCATTAAATGTATCTGAGATAAGCATCATTATTCTTTGTTTATGTTATTTGGTAGTACCATTTATCTTACTTTAGTCTAATGTTAAATGTTATTGTAAACATATTCATTTTTATTCTATTTCAAGTGTTTCTGGATATAACATTATAAAATAATATTGGTAATATATGCTTTTATAGATCATTGAAATATGTTTTTATAGAAAGGATGCACCCTCAGTTGAATAGCCTGCTGTAAATTACATAAAGTTTATAAAGCCAAGAGGTACTTTGTTCCAGTTTGAACTCCATCATTACCTTTCTTATAACTTTCGACTAAAACACCATCATTAACATCATTACCTTTCTTGTAACTTTAGAGTAAAACACCATCATTAACGTCATTACCTTTCTTGTAGCTTTTGACTAAAACACCATCATTAAAGTACAGATAGCAGCTGACTATTTTACATATTTTCTAGTAAGGCAAAGTTAATACAAAGAGTTGGAACATCCAATAAAATGACCAAAATGCAATTATTATTTGTCTCCCTTTCCCTACCTCCTCTATTTTGGTATATATTATTTATTTAGAAATTATCAATAAAGAATGTCAGAATGTTTAACCTTGCTCTACCATTTATTAGTTGACAATTTTTAAAAATAGGTTTTTATTCACTTTTTAGAGAGAGAGGAAGGAAAAGAGAGATAGAAACATGATGTGAGAGAAAAACATCATTTGGCTACCTCCTGCAGGACCCCACTGTAGACCAAGCCTGGAACCTGGGCATGTGTCCTGACCGGGAATAGAACCGGGACCTTCCAGTCCATGGGAGGACACTCAATCCACTGAGCCACACCAGCTGGGCAGTATGACAATTTTTTTAAAAACCTTTCTCTACCTGTTCATTTTGTTTGTAGATTCCATTGTTGATAGATATGTATTCATTGCCATTTTGTTTGTTCATACATTTTATCTTTTTCTTCAAAAAGACCCTTCATCATTTCATATAATAACGGTTTGGTAGTGATGAACTCCTTGAACTTTTTCTTGTCTGGGAAAGTTTTTATATGTCCATCAATTCTAAGGGAGGAGGGGGTCAATGGGGGAAAAATGTGGAACATCTGTAATACATTTTACATCCAACAATAAAGATTTGAAAAACAAAAAACAAAAAACCTTTCTCAGCCTCAATTTTCTCATCTGTAAAATAGACATGATAATAGGGCCTACATGATAGGTTTGTTATGACAGGTCAGTGAATTAACATGGAAAAAAATCTTTAAAACAATGCATGCCTATATGTACTCCATAAATATAAGCTACTTTTGACCATGGACACGCCAAGATGGGCTGCATTGCACCAAGACCGTGAAGAAGGCGGCCCAGGTTATCATGGAGAAGTACACACGTGCCCGGGCAATGACTTCCACACTGAGAAGCATGTATGAGCAGATTCAGAGAGGCCCTGTGAGAGGTATATCCATCAAGCTGCAGGAAGAGGAGAGAGAGGAGAGATAATTATGTTCTGGAGGTCTCAGCCCTGGATCAGGAGATCATTGAAGTTGATCCTGATACTAAGGAAATGCTGAAGCTCTTGGACTTTGGCAGACTGTCCAACCTGCAGGCCACTCAGCCTACTGTGGGATGAATTTCAGAACACTACATGGAGCCATTTGAATCTTTCGGCTGTGCTATAATATTACCTAAAAACCATGAACAACCAAATATATAAATACTATTTTTATTACTGTTGTGAGGATGATATACCTGCTATCCTAAAATGAATATTATGAGACCTGATAATATGATATGCTTTCTTATATCAAATAATTTATTTACTTGGAGTTAATGTCCGAAATCTGATTTGCAGCCCTCGTGAATGTGAGGTCCACGCCAAATGGCCCCTGCTGCCTGGCTCTGAGATGGGCCCTGATAAAATTTCTGTAATAAACTCTAAGTTCATTTGGAATCAGAGAAAAGACCCAACAGTTAGAATCAGAGAAAAAAACACAAAACAAATGAAAGACTTCATTGAGAGGAAAGGATCTGAACCTAAGGCCTGAAAGATAGAATTTGCAATGGCTGGGGGCAGGGAGGAGGATCAGCCCCATCCACCACCATGTGCTAGGCATTATATTTTGTGCTTCCCAACCTTTCTTTGCACTCCTGTAAGGTCACTTAGCTAGTATTTGCAAATGAGGGATTTAGACTCTTATCTAACCCCCAAACCGTTCTTATTTCCACACTATACTGCTGCTTTGATAATTGCAGGTTGTTTATTCTGTCTAGGCCAGTTATATTCTTCTAAATATGCCATTAGTTTTTAGTGGCTAAGTTGTTTTCTTTTTCCGATTTTCTCCCTCAGTTTTCTTATGTGCATATACTATGCTGAATTGTATGTTTGCTTTTTAAGTTTTGCTGATTTCTGTTCTTTTATAATTTAACTCGGATGTAATGTCTTTGCTGAGGCCTCTTCTTTGGGATGTGGTCTCAACAATTCAATAGGCTGCTGCTTTGGCTCTTGGGAGGCTGCTTATTTACAGTGATCACCCAGCAGACACAGTTGTGAAGGGAGACGTTCTTCCACAGCTTGTTTCTTCGATGGCAGAACAGAATGTAAGAATTTTAAAATGTTATGTATGTTTTTTACTTTAAAATATTTGATTGTTTGGGTACATTTGCAAGCTTGTAAGCATTAGAATTATTAAGATGTTAACACTCAATTCAATTCTTAACATTCAATTCTTTGAACTGAACATAATATCTTGAGGCATTATTTTTTGAGGTTGATATGTAGCTTTTCCCCATTATTGTTAATATAAAGAGAAAACAGGTTTAAAAATGTAATGGGATTATACATAAAGTAGAATGTCTGTGTATAAGAGTTTTAAAATTATAGGATTAGTCTTAGGTATATAAAGCCTTAAGCAAACAAAAAGTTATTTATAGAAATCTTTATATATAGGTGAAATTTGATTAATGGCAACAATAAGAAATTGCTTCAAAGCAAGGGGGAGAGAAGCATCCAAAGGGAAGGAGAATGTGTTTAGTGGAAGGTTTGGTAAAGCATTTTTATGCAAGTGTGTCAGGCCTTTTACGGGTCATTTAAGAGAGTCCCCTTTCCCCCTTCTGTCTGATTCCACTCTTTCTGTACGGCACCACCCAACAGTGGGTAAGGACGGACCTTCCTATGGTTAAGGTTTTGGACTGCTTATTCTATTCTACTGGTTTATCATAACCTAGGAATATATCTTTCTGGACATATCTTTAAAATTATATTCCTATTTGTGTAACCAAAGGACAAACAATTCAATGAAAAATGGGAAAAGGACTTGAATAGACATTTATCCAAAGAAGACGTATGCATGGCCAACAAACATGAAAAGATGCTCAGCAGCAATAGTCATCAGGAAATGCCTATCAAAACCACAACGAGATAGCACCTCACTTACTAGGATGGTCATAATAAAAAGGAAAATAACAAGCATTAGTGAAGATGTGGGGAAATTGGACCCCTCATACATTGTTGGTAGCTGAGTAAAGTGGTGCAGCTGCTTGGAACAGCTTGGCAATTCCTCAGTAAGTTAAACATAATTACCAGATGACCCAGCAATTCTCCTACTTCTATTTCCAAAAGAATTGAAAACATGTGTTCAAACAAAACTTGTACACAAATATTCATAGCAGTATTATTCCAATAGCCAAAAGAATGACTGGATAAACAAAATGTTATATATCCATACAGTGAAGTATTATCAGTCATAAAAAAGATCACGTACTGATATATGCTACAACATGGATGAACCTTAAAAACGTTATACTAAGAGAAAGAAGCCAAACACAAAGACTACATATTATATGATTCCATTTATATGAAATCTCCAGATTATGTAAATCCATAGAGAGAGAAGCAGACTAGTGGTTGCCCAGGGCTGGGGGGAGAGAGGATTAAGGAGTGACTGCTTAACATATGGGGTTCTTGATAGAGTGATAAAATATTCTGTAACTAGAAAGGTGGTTGCACCACATTATGAATTCACTGAATGCCACTGAATTACAAACTTTAAAATGGTTAAAATAGTAAATTGAATGTTATGTATATTTTATCAGAATTTAAAAAAGTAAACACAAACCCTAATTGTTGAAAAATTTGCATTATTTTTATGAATTGGAGAGTCATTTACTAATGACTGTTTTATCTCCACAGAGATTTTATTTTTCTTGTAGTTATTTCTTCTATCATCAAATACTATTAGACTTTCCTCTTCCTGGACTCTTCATTTCTTCCTTTGAAGTCAGAGTGTGTATTTTGGTAACCCACATAGAAGGTCCTTAGTAGAAGTTTTCTAACTGTGAACAATGTTGATTAGTTGAAAAGAGACAAAAAAATGTATTAGGACACAGAGACAGTGGGAATGTGAAGCATTATTCACAGGCTCTGTCTTCTTCACCTACTAGTCTTTTAACTCATTTCTCATAGGAGATGTAATCTCTGTTCACCAAGTACAAAGTCCTCTGGTTTTGCTGTTGCTTTTTTAAAGAAAATTCTTTTGATAAGGAATGGGAGAGAAGAGAGGAATTTGGGGAAGCAGAAATTAGGAGATAGGAAAGAATGAGATCTGAAAGTGTGACTTATAGGCTCTGTAGTTAGCAGTGACTAGTAACATGCAAGGAATTGTCTGTGATTTTGAAAATTCTACAATATAAAAAGTTAAAATAGCTTACGATAATGATAAGAAATGTATCACCATTATTTTTCCACAAGTATAAGAAAATCTGTAGAAAGCTACTTAAAACTATTTTAATTTTTACAATAAATTAGTAGCTATTTGATTACTGACATAAAATTAGACTTTATGACAAATATTTTAATATTTACATGTTACATTAAAAAAACTAAAGAAATATGTAAAATCCATACATCATTACCAAACAGCATATTTCTTATATCATCAATATATACCAGGTTTTGTGAAATAATGTTAAAAATAACTTGGTGTATCTTTTCTCTCTTAAAAAATATATATAATTTTTGTGTCTTAATATTTTAGCGTAAGTAAGTAGAATGCTTTCAAAACAGGTGCTATGACACCCAGACACTTTTTAGTAGTCACTGTAAAGAAATAGAAACAGAATCTAAAATCTGGAGTTAACTGGGTTCTGTCAATAAAAGGAAGAATTAAGAGACCATCACTGTGTCATTATGTCAACCATAAAACCACAGTGAGTGTTATAACTAAATACTTCCTTAACATTTAATTTTTTTAGCTATACAAAGAAAATCATGCTTCAGTTTTATTTTATTTCTTAGTCTGATAAAACATATGTAGAAAATATTATAAATAAGAAGCAGTCACATAATGTTAAGTCATTTGTATTTACCTTTTTTTAAAAAAAGCACCTCTAAAAAGGGACAAATAACATGTCCCATTGTTTGGCTAGTTTATTTGCCAGGAAAAGTTTAAAATGTATCATGAATGTTTTGCCTTTACGTTTATTTAATGATTGATAAGTGTATCTTGAAACATGGTTGTTATTTCAGGATAACTTAGGACACTAGAAAGATTAGTTGAGGTTATGAAAGGCCCACCAGCCTCAGAGACAGAGCAAGTAAAGGGATGGAATTTGTGAGTTGCTAGTGTAGCTGCACATGCTAACAATCCAAGAGTTCCCATGGGTCAAATACCTTTAGTGTAGTGCAGATGCATATAAATCTCATTAAATAATAAATTTGTAGGAAATACAGTTTTCAGGAAATATATTTTTATAAGTGCATGTTTTAGAATAAAACATAAAATATAAGACTTGCATGGCTTTTGTTTAGCTACTGAACAAAAGCAATGGGTAACAAAAAATTCAAAATGATGTTGCAGGATGTTTTTCTTTTGTATTTAAAAGCTGTTGCGCTTTATTATATTAACATTATTTTTATGCTGGTTTTAGTTTATTTTAACTTTTCATTATATAAGTGTTCAACTCACTTTGAGTTTTATCTATTTTATCCTTATAGTGATTCTACAAGAAAGTAGCTGCCTTTGTGTTAGCCGCAGTTGGTAAACCTTCTCCTCAGCTCACTCAGGCAATAGTTGATTGTGGAGCACCGGATGCACTGGTGATATATCTGCAAGATTCTGACCCTGGAATCAAAAAGGCTGCAGCCTGGGCACTCGGATGTATTGCAGCACAGAATGCAGGTAATGGAGTATGTTTTAAAATAGGGTTATTAAAGTTTATATTTAGTATTAGATAAATCTGGCTTTGCTTAGTAAGGCATAGGTGAGGTTTTAAGGACGTTTCTATACATTATGGGAGAGAACCTCTGAATGATGCCCAAGTTGTTTGGATTACAAATTCACACAAAAATCAATGCATTCCAGTCTTTATCTGAGGAGAAGAGAAATTTGTACATGGAAAGAAAAGGTGGGAGGAAGTAGAGGGAATGAGATATTAATTCTCAAAGACCTTTGGTAAATTGGTTTAGTTAAAACATTATTTTAGTTTGTCACCCCTCAGGGTACATTGAGTCTTCACTCTTATTCCTAACATAGGGTATTTCAAATCATGTGAGTGAGTAATGTTAAAAAGATATGGACAACATGGGAGAGCATAATTGCCAATGATACATCAGGTAAGGGGTTAATTTTCAAAATATATACTATACTCATACAACTCAACAAAAAGAAGACAACCCAATTAAAAAATGGGAAGAGGACCCAAGTGGATACCTCTCCAAATAGGACATACAAATGGCCAAGAGACATATGAAAAAAATGCTCAACATCATTAATTATCAGAGAGATGCAAATTAAAACAGCAATAAGGTATCATCTCACACCTGTCAAAATGGCTGCCATCAACAAATCATCAAACAACAAGTGTTGGCGAGGCTGTGGAGAAAAGGGGACTCTAGTACACTGCTGGTGGGAATGCAGACTGGTGCAGCCACTATGAAAAACAATATGGAGTTTCCTCAAAAAGTTAAAAATTGAACTTCCATTTGACACAGTGATCCCACTTCTAGGAATGTATCCTAAGAAGCCTGAAACACCATTCAGAAAGAATATATGTACCCTTATGTTCATAGAAGCACTATTTATAATCACTAAGATCTGGAAACAGCCCAAGTGTCCATCAATAGATGAGTGGATAAAAAAGTTGTGGTACATGTACACAATGGAGTACTATGCAGCTGTAAGAAAGAAAGATCTCTCATCCTTTGAGATGACATGGAGGGACCTGGAGGATATTATCCTAAGTGAAACAAGCCAATCAGAGAAAGACAATTATCACATGATCTCACTTATTTGTGGAATATAATGAACAAAACAAACTGATGAACAAAATAGACCCAGAGACATAGAAGTAGGGTACAGACTGACAGAACTCAGAAGAGGGGGTTGGGTGGGAGGAAAGAGATAAATCACAGAACTTATATGCTTATATGTGTAACCATGGACGAAGACAACAATGCTGGGGATTGGGCTGGGGTGGGGGGATGGATTGTGAGGAGAGTGTCAATGTGGGAAAAAGGAGAAAGAACTGTAACAAAAATAAATTAATAAAAAAATTAAAAAAATAAAATATAAGAAAGATATGGACATACTTTCTAGAACATGCTTATATTTAGCCCATACTGGGTAGGAAGGAGGAGAAAGAAAAGGATCACCTCTTATAAACTGACAGCTCGGTGCCTGGATCTGGTGTGAAGGCTGTGCTGACACCTGATTAGTACAAAGTACACAGGGAACAAATTGCCCCCACCACTTTATGGAAATTGTTAAATAATTCCAACAAATAACACAACAAGACTTTGCAGTTTAACAAACATAAAAATGATCAGATTTGCTAGTAATCAAGAACTGCGTAGTAAGACATTAGTGCAGATATCTTCCCCACCTGTTATTACTTGGGGGAAAGAGTACAGCAGAGCTCGAGCCAAGCGTGCAGAGCACGTGGCATTAGACAGGACCTGCGTCTGAGTCCGAGTTCTACCACTGCGTTGTTGCCATGCAACACTGGACATGACTTTTAAACTTTCTGAACCTTTACTTCCTCGCCTATTACTCATTGACTACTGCTCCAGAGTTACTTCCGAGATTTGTTGGGAGGAGGATAAGAGGTGTGAAGCACTCAGACCAGTGCTTGGCATGTGGTCAATACTCCATTTTGAACGTGCTACCCTTAGGGTAGGCATTACTGTTCCTGTTAAACAGAGGAAGAAAGTGGAACTTAGAGAGAAGCCTGAAGTTATGTTAAAGGTAGAACTGGAATTTGAGTCTAACTCTGTCTGAATCTAAGACCATATTAACCATTTTATGATACAGCTTCACTGAATAGTTCTTGAAAGTTTATTGAAGAAGAAATTCAAAACAGACACAGTAAGAAGTTTTCCCATAGTTATGTTTAATTTGGTTCATAAAGTGGTGACATTATTAGAGACAAAAAAGAAATAAAATGATATAAAAGTATATTGGGGCTGTTGGGGTGGTGGGGAGATTGAGCAAAAAGAAAAAAAAAGAAATAACTCATGAATATGGACAACAGTATGGTGATTGCTGGGGGTGGGGGGAGGGGAGTGGAGGTGGAAGATGGTTTGGGGAATAAATGGTGATGGAAAAATAAAACAAAAATAAAGAAAAAAATTAAAAAAGTAAATAGAAGAAGAAAACTATTGTCATGCTTAGAATGATTCAGAATTAGTATATTAAAATTATTTTCTTAGTATCTGAATTTTGGTTTTCCAGATAGGTTCACCGTAGGACTACTGCTTAATACATGTTGATGGAGAAAACTAAGGTAGCGTTTTACATCCGAAGCTGGTTATCAGGGGAAACTACATGAATCTATTTAGTAAATTTTTTTTTTTTTTTTTTTTTTTTTATGTCAGAAGACTTAATGGCAAACAGATTGTAACATGAGTATTTCAGAGGGTGGTGTAAAAGAACTTTGAGAGACAACCACACAGATACATTCTCAGGCAGGTACCCACAGATACCCTTTACATACCTCCCTTCTGTTGAGTTTGAAGCTAAATGATAACAGTTCATAAAAGGGGTCTGTTTTAGGGATTCTATTCCAATTTTTTTTGCTATAATCTGGATCCCACATGGAATTCCCCCTGTAATTTCAATATTTCATGGTACTTAAAGGCTTGGGACCCAGAAGCTCCCAGAAGAGATTACTGCATAGACTTCTCTGAAGGAAAGGGAATTGTTATCAAGTAAGCAATAAAAGAAGTCATCATTCACATCCTGACTATCAGTGAAAATAGAGGATTTACCTCCAAATAACCTGATTTCTTTCTCGGTGGTTTCCTGAAAATGGCATATATTGAGATTAATGGGAGGACATTCATTCAGTCTTTTCTTCTTAGTATTAGTGTTGAAATGTTTACTTAGACAGATTAAGAAATATAAACTTCAAATAGAGATGCAAAAGAAATAAAGTGTATCTTTAAGGGCAATAGAAGGAAAATATTTTGTATATAGGAAAAAAAATAAAGTAAGCACACAATTTGTAGAGAGAAACCAGTGGGCATTATCTGACTTTTCCTTATTTAAAAAACACAAGTTCTAAAGGTCACTTTTATGCATAGATTTTAAAGCATTTTACAGATAATCAAAGGGAACTGGGGGCTAGTAACTAGAAATGGCAGTTCAAAAAAAGTTCGGTGCAAATCGTGTCATTAAATTTCTATGATTGAACCACCAGTTATTGGATACACTTGATGACATGTACCTCTTACTGTGAAGATAAGTTATTTCTTTATATTTTTATATGTTTTGCTGTTCCTTAATAAAAGCTGAGGTAGATTTCTTCTCATATTGGTTATCTCCGTTCTTCCTTGTCACTTTCCCACTCTGCAGAATTATTCTAATCTATGTCAAATCTGTCACTATTTCTAAAGATTAGCCTTGCTTTTGGAGATACAAGTAATGAGGCAAGCAGCCTGGGCGGGCTGGAAGTGTGAGGGGTGAGCAGAAGCAACCTGGGCTGTGGAGCCCAGAGCTCGGTGCTTCCCGCTCCTGGCCCTCCCTCCCTGCTCCCACCTGGTGGCCTCAGTCTCGCCTCAGTCTCGCCCGTTCCTGTGTGCAGCACAGCGGGGTGCTGCCAGTGAATTTGTGTGAAGGGTGTGGCAGCAATTTGAGTAGTTGGTGAGATGAGGGCAGTCTACTGGCTGCAAGTGTGAGGAAGGAGAAGTCATATAAATGTTTTTTGTATGAACGGTCTTCCACATTTGGGCTCAAAAGAAAGTTTTAAGTGTTTATTTTGGAAGCTTTAGCTAAAAATACTGTCTCTTGTAAACTTGGTCTCCTGTAAATTTTGGCTGTTCTCGAGCCTGGCTAACAGGAATACATTTGATTAGGAGTTCTAAAACATTTCAGTTATTGATATAATTGTCATATTATAGATGAGGAAACTGAAGTAGAGGGGTTAAAGGATTTATTCTGGTCAGACTGCAATTTATGGTGGAACTGCTTGGCAGTTACTGAAAACCTTTCAGAGATTTTTCATTTTTATAGTGTGAGAAAGGAAAGTGTGTGAGAGCTCATCATTCTTCATTTCAACCTCCTCCTTCTATTTGAAAGTCTTTCCAGATACATCCTGTTTCAATTCCTGATGGCTGGTTTCCACATGTGTGACTAGTCTTTCTCCCATAGACCTGATTTATGTCCTTAGGACACAAATCAAGTGAGGAATTTTCACTCCAGCTCAGCAGTTAGGAGAAGAGACTGAGGCAGCCAAAGATGAGCAGTGCTTCCAGGAAACGGCTGGTTTGGACACTATGGACACATTTAGTAGCGTGTATCCTATTTACTAAATAAATAATGTAAGTTAAGAATCCAGACAGAGCTTGCCAGCCTGATTCTTCTCTTTCTTGTGTAAAATGATGAAATGATTAAAGGAGAAAACATTTCTAAAATTCAGAAGTTTTACAAATATTCTTCTCATGCCACTCATGCTACTTATACATAAATACCTAAATCCTAAATCGTGTGCAACAGGCTTTGGAAGCAGTAATTAACTTTTTAAAAAATATACATATTACTAACAAATATCTGAATTAACTAGGCACTTTATAGTATATGTCTTAGAGTTAGTAAGGATGGATGGGTGAAGGAGGCAAGAGCCTGGGTAATTAAAAATCATTTTAAAAGCCCTACAGCCAACTATCTTCACTGATGCCTGTAGA